ATGAAATATCATAAAGTCGTATAATTTCTGAAAACTGAGATTTCTCATTTACAACTTGGTCACATCAGACCGATCAACATGGGTTTATAAAAAAATCCTGCACAGCCAATCTGGCATGCCTGAGTTGATAATTTAATGAAAAAAACAACTCTGGTTTGAAAAAAAAATTTTTCAGCATATGAGTGTTTTGAGTTAAAAACGAGAAAATATTTCAAAAGGTTTAAGATCAGAACAATACTTTTTACTGAATTTTTCATCAAAAAAATTTCCATTCAGAAAATAAAAAAAAGGTATCGAACATTGTAAAAAATTAACGATTTTCGTAAAATGATAAAAGATAAATGAAAAATTTTTTTCATTTTTAATATTTTAGATGGAGAAACAGTGCATACAAAGTTATTTTTTTATATAACCTACTCGCATTCAATTCTTCCCGATAGGACATACAGTAGTGAAAATACTGAATAATGATTTTCTACCCGAAATTTTACCCCATGTCATCGTTCGTCTAAGATCAACTATAATTTTTTTTATAATGAGCACAATGATTTTGCTTTTTTCTCTTCAAATTACAAATACATATGTACAGCTGATGGATGTCTAAAAAATGAATCTTACTGGGATTCGAACGCAGGACGACCGAGATAATGAGCTAGAATTCTACCAATGAGCTATTGACACTCATGAATTATATATGCGTAAACTTTTTTTTTTGTAACCGATGGAAAACATGTTTTTACTCACAGGATGAAATATTAAAAACTCGTATAATTTCTAAAAACTGCGATTTCTTGGGAAATAAAGTTTTTGGCTTTCTACTACTCCATCTGATACAAAAAAAAAGGGATGAGAGAATCTTCCAAAGAAAGGAAGGAAGTAAACAATTTGAAACTCATATATGAATGTGTAGATCATGCAAAGAAGTAACTTTCAGATACAAACTGAAAGAATGTCATCCTGAAACAGCTACTTTCATATAAACATTGAATTACACGAAAGAAAATAATTCTTTCGAAACAAATACTTCTATATGAACACTGAATTATACAGAAGATACTTTTCTCTACTCAGTTTGTATTTCAAACATTTGTTGTTGAACAAGAATCAGATATCATTCACATGAGTTCTACTTCGAATGAATGGTAATAAATTGTACTCACACAGAACACTGTCACCCTCACTGGTATACACCGATGTTTCGCTTTAAGACACTTGCACTAAGGCTCTTCAGTACCAAATTGGATAACACTATAGAAAATACACACACTTCATTCATGAATTACGATTTTGAATAAATCACTCCTAAAAATATAACCCCTTCAATTCAATTTTTTTTTATAATGAGCACAATAATTTCCTGTCTTTTTTTTTCTTCAAATTACAATACATATATACAGCTGATGGATGTCTGAAAAATGAATCTTACTGGGATTTGAACCCAGACGACCGAGATAAGGAGCTAGAATTCTACCAATGAGCTATTGACACTCATGAATAAGGAGTGCGTGAAATTCTTTTTTGTAACTGATGAAAAACATGTTTTCACTCAGGCCTCATGTTGTCGAATAAATACATATGGAAGTGCTCATAGGATGAAATATTATGAAGTCGTATAATTTCTAAAAACTGGGATTTCTTATTTACAAATTGGTCACATCAACATGGGTTTATAAAAAATCCTGCACAACCAATCTAGCATGCCTGAGTAGATAATTCAATAAAAAAAACAACTATGGTTTGAAAAAAACTATTTCCAGCATATGAGTGTTTTGAGTAGAAAACGAGATATTTCAAAAGGCTTGATTGAGATCAGAACAATACTTTTCACTGAATGTTTTATTAAAAAATTTCCGAATCATTCAGAAAATAAAAAAAGGTAGCGAACATTGTAAAAAATTAATGATTTTCGTAAAATGATTAAAGATAAATGAAAAAAATGTTCATTTGGAATATTTCAGATGGAGAAACAGTACACACAAAGTTATTTTTTGATATAACCTACTCGCCGCATCAAGTTCTTCCCAATAGGGCATATAGTAGTGGAAATACTGAATTATGTTAGGAATCACACGTTAAAAGATAATACCTCGTTAGTCCTTAGCTCGCACAAGTTTCTCAACTTCTGAGAGTTGTCGTTCTTATGGGGGCGACAGCTGATTAACGGAAAAACAGATTTCAAACAGACAGATGATTTTCTACCCCAAATTTTACACCATGTCATCATTCGACTAAGATCGACTTTACTTTTTTTCATAATGAGCGCAATAATTTTCTATCTTTTTTTTTCCCTCAAATTACAATACGTACAGATGATAGATATCTGAAAAATGAATCTTGCTGGGATTCGAACCTAGGACGACCGAGATAAGGAGCTAGAATTCTACCAATGAGCTATTGACACTCATAAATGAGAAATGCGAATTTTTTTTTTGTAACTGATGGAAAACATGTTTTTACTCAGTCGTGGAATTGATACATATGGGAGTGCTCACAGGATGAAATGTTATAAAGTAGTAAAATTCACAGAATTTTTTTCTTGGAATCCTGGAGTACTCGAAAGTAATATCTCTCTGATTATTCAATCTTCACACAAATTCATTTTCCATGAGGTGCAGGACAAAGCTTTAGTTCACCTGCACACACCCCTTCGAGGGTGTGTACAGGTAAATTTTTTCTCGGCATAGACTTCCTAGTGACGTCTTATGGGATGAAAATTCAAGTGGGGATGAATTCTATAAATTGAGCATTTCAATACATTTGAAAGACTCATACCATTGTGCTCAGGGAAGTATATTGTGATTGAAAAGTATTCTTGTTTTGCGTATACATACAAGTGGAGTATAAAAATGTCTTATCCAGAAAATTCAAATTTTGATAGTCAAAGAATAGGAACAGGTAAGACATCATAAATTCTACTATTTATTCAGTTTTCTTCTGAGAATTCTCATCTCTCCTGATCGATAAAATTTTGAAAATTTCTATGAAAAATTTGTATTTTCTTCTTTTCCCATAGGAAACAGCGCATTTTCGATCTTGAAAAATACGTTGAATTTACGCAACAATTTACCGGGGTTGACTACAGTTTTGCGGTTCCAACCGTTGTTGGATTGTTTCATCTGCTTTGATTTTCAATTTCTCAATTCTCCGTATGGCAAAGTTAAGATCTTGACTTTTTTATTGTTAACAATCTTTTGTTTTTTCATCTTCTTTTTCAAATACAATACATATTATAGCCGACAGATATCTGAAAAAGAATCCCGCTGAATTAAAACCTGGACGATCTAGATAAGAAGCTAGATGAGCTATGGACCCTCATAAATGATATATGTGTAATTTTTTATGTAACTAATGGAAAAATGTTTTTACTCAGGCTATATGTAGTGAAAAATGTTCATATACATCACACAGGTTCAAATATTATATGGTAGTATAGTTCTTAACGTTTCTCTGCGAATTCTTATTTACAACTCGGTCGAAAGCATCATATCATAAAAAATCTTGTACAACCAATCAGTACATAATTTAATGAAGAAAAACCATTATTTCGAAAAAAACCTTTATCAACATATGGGTTTTTTCAGTTGAAAACGAGATGTTCCCCTGGATTTAAAAGCGAAATGAAATTTTTCACTGAATGTTCTATACAAAAACTTTTGGATCACTCGAGATATTCGAGTGTAATATTGGTTTTTTTGTTCAGTGAAAAAATCAGCGTTTCGATCGTTCAAATTAGTTCAACTTCCTACCATTCATTAATCAGTTTAATATTCCAACGGTTTTTTGCTCACGTTTTTTCATAATTATTTTGGTTAAAAATCTCGGTGTTTTTAAACAGTTTGGAAATACGAGGGGCGAGCAATAATTTCACAATAGTTTCACAAAATGAAACATGATGCAGCAAAACAAAATTATACAGTGTAATCCCCAAAGTATGCACCACATGGGGAACTTGTTTGTTAAGGGTTTTTAGACAAAATGTTACTCTTGATGAACGTTTGTGCATCCTCTAAAACTGAATATGCACCAACAAAATAGAGTAAAACATACGTAATATACGAGAAGCCTTCAAATATTTGATTTTGAGACAATCGTAAAGTACTCTTATTTTGAAAATTTTCGAGAAATGTTATTTAAAAAAGTTGTTCAGCATTTGAAGTCACGGTTATCCAAGCGAAGTTATATTTTTTTACCCATTTTTTATGGGGACTACGAAAAAAAATTTTACTAAAACGATGAATAGACAGAATCCTGTATACGATGGTTCATTTAAAAAGCCTGTAATATCAGGAATTATACAACTATGGTGTTAACCAATGTGAATTGTTTTGAAGAGTAAAATAATTTTCGAATTTTTTGGTGCAAAGTTATTTTTATTTTTCGTTAACACCGAAAAGTACTCAAAATTAGACAGTATTGTAACAGAAACTTGATTTTGGGAACAAACTCATTGATTTTCTGGAGATTGTCTCATCCAAAATAATTCTCCAAAATAATCTCCAGAAAATCAATGAGTTTGTTCCAATATACCTATTTCTTTTCGATATTTTGTGATTTGATATTATTAAATATTGAGTTCTTGTCACAATTTTAAGTGAATTTCGGTGTTAACAAAAACTAAAATAACTTTGCACCAAAAATTTTGAAAATTATTTCACTTTCCAAAATTGCCCGTGGTTAACAACATAATTGTGAAATTTGTAATATTGCAAGCTTTTGAAAAGAACCGTCGTATACAGGATGCTGTTTATTTATCGTTTTAGCAAATTTTTTTTTCGTAGTCCCCATTTTAAAAAAATTGGCAAAAAAATAAAACTCATAACATTTCCCTAGATTTTTCAAAATAAGAATACTTTACTCCTGTTTCAAAATCGAATATTTGAAGACTCCTCGTATATTACATGTGTTTTACTTTCCCCAAGAGTAACTTTTCGTCGAAAAACTCTTAATAAATCAGTTTCCCATATGGTGCATACTTTGACCATTCGAGTGAATTATCAGTGTGAGCTAATTCAGCAAAATCAAGTGTTGGGAGGCAGAAACTTTGTCATATCGAATGAAAATATGAATTTAAAAATTTCAGCTGGTTAATATTTTGCCAGAAGGCCTCTGTTAGTCCAGACAAACCATAGGCGACTTCATAGGTTATGAAGATTTGATGGAGGTTTCAAATCCTATATTGCTTCCGTAATAGTTGTTGAACAGACTTTTTTTTCAGGGTCTGCCGGCAGTTCTGATGAAGAACACGTGCGGTTCAGAAGGGGAGAATTGCTGCTTTCCACGACCAATTCGTACCAAGTCATCAGTTCTCTTGGAAGTGGTACATTTGGACACGTGTTACAATGTACCCAGACTAGTACTTCACAGTTGGTCGCTGTCAAAGTATTAAGATATATTAGTGGTCAGCCTGAACTGGTGAGTTGAACCATTCGAACTATTTTAGGAATCAAAAACATCCTTGATGAAAAAAAATATTGAACTTAGAAGAAATAAAAATTTAGAATGTCGTGAAATTTGGAAACAGCTGAAGTTTACACTAGGTAGCATCTATCAGTTTCAGTCATAAATCGAACCCAAAAAGCACTACAATGAAAACGTAGTTGCTCAAAACTGAACATTTAGTACTCAAGATATCATTCAGTAGATAGCATCATCAATGCAATCTCTTGACAATTCAAAATTGATTCACCAGATGAAATAATTTTTGTCTCTATTTCGAAATCGTACACAATACTCTACATCGAAAATCTGTTTTACGGCAAATGAAGATATTTCTCTAGACTTCATATTAGCATGCTCTTAGCAACTTATTTGTAGACGTTTATCCCGCAACTCGATTATACCCGGTCACATTACATTATCTTAATTTTCGTAGAATTTTTCAATTTTTTCAAAATCAAAATTCAGCTAATTATATTAGTTGATAATTTAGCCTGCAGGTGAACGAATTTTTTGAATCAGTTAAATAGTTTTTGGTGTTCCCATAACAAACATAATATCCATTCAGATTGACTACTGTCCCCTCTTGAAAATACATGAAAAGGTAATCATCCGCTGCCAGAGACGATAATAGTGATGATGAAAATGAAAATAATATTCATTGGCAAGAAATATATAAATTTCGTAAATAAATAACGATGAAATGCGAATAAATGGTTATTATCCACAAAGTCATGCCTGTGTGTGGGAATACACAATTTATTCATTCATTCACTGATAATATACAGTGTGGTCCACTTAGTCTGCAGCAAATAGGAAACTTTTTCATTATCGATTTCTCAGAAAATGTTATTCCTGACAAAAGTTGGTGCATGTTCCAAAACTATACCAAGTGTACATGAAATGGCTTTATGACAAATATATAAATTTCATTCATGAGTAAAGTACCATTATTTCAAAAAATATAGAAATCTGTTGAAGAGAAAAAACACATATGCCCTAAAACAATACTGTAGTTTGATAGTATGACTTCTTTAAACTTGCCTGTAGAACGTTTTCATATTTGTCCTTAATTAAAAATGCCTCGCCCAGTATTATTAACGCTGCAAATATTTTCAACGAGCGGCATCCAGACAAACAAATTTGCTATTCAAGTGTAAGTAGAATTTTAAAGAATTTCAAACAGACAGGCTCACTAGAATATAAACATAATACGGAGCGTACGAAACCTGTATGCACAGAAGAAAACCAGCTTGACGTACTTCAGGAAGTAGAAAATCCTAGAAGATCCACCCAAGAAATTAGTGATTATACCGACATAAAAAAATGTGTGCTTACAAACCTACATTCATTTGTACATTTCAAGAAAGAGACTATGCTATGAGATATGATTTTTCCATGTGGATTCAGAGTGAAATAGAAGAACAACGAGATTTTCATCGATGTATTCTGTTCGGAGATGAATCTACTTTTAGAACAAATGGGGTTCTATCATCACAAAATTGCAGATGGTGGTCAGATGTCAACCCAAATTTTATTATTGACAACAAAAATCAATACTATCAGAAAACAAACGTTTGGTGTGATAATAGGAGAGTTTTTGGATGATATGGTATTAGAAGAACGGCAAAAGTTGTGGTTCCAACATGACGGATGTCCTTCCCATTCTCCTAGAAATGTTTCTCAGTGGCTGAATAGGTCATTTCGTAATAAATGGTTAGGACGAAATACCGATCCTTGATGGCCTCCTCGTTCTCCAGACCTTACTCCTCTAGATTATTTCTTATGGGGATACTTAAAACCAAAAGTCTACAGAGATAGCCCCTTTATTAATGTTGATGAGTTCGAAACTACAATACGAGTTCATTGCAGAAATATTACCGCTAATGTGTTGCGATCTACAATAAACGAATTTTATGAGCGAACAATTAGATGCATCGAAAGAGAAGGTGGACATACAGAGATAAATTTTGACAGTTTTTCCATACGAACATTATACTTAGTAAAGTATTTGCCTCGTTAAAAAGAGTATTTGTTTTATTATAGAGTTCTGTTAAATATCGTTGCAACAAACATGAAGTTGACGGTCACCTAAAAAATACAAATTTAAGTAAATTTTACAAATACACTTTAATTTGCACCAACTTTTGTCAAGAATACAATTTTCTGAGAAATCGATAATAAAAAAGTGTCCCATTTGTTGCATACTCAGTGGACCACACTGAATATTTGGATGATGTTGAATTGGAAATAACACTATTTTCAAAAGATCAGTATGGGTTTTTTGTTTTTTCTGTAGTTCCAGTGATACAATCATATTGATTTTCAAGTCGAATGTCTAATTTCTGATGAAGGTATTAGTTATCATTGTGATTTGATAGTGATTATGATCTATTCTCAATTTTTGTTCAGCTCAAATTGTAGACTAAATCACCAAATACTAAAATTCCAATTTCATTATATCATTTATTTAGGTGCCCCTGGAAAACAAGCATCCTTGCATTTTCAACGTGGGCATTCTATAGCAGTTCAGTGAGCATCTCAATAGGAGGTTGTTTTTTTTGAGTTTCGTTTCTGATGTGGTGGTGGACGGACGTGCCGACAGCGACCGTCCACAAAGAAGGCACGCGGACGCCATTGTTGGGGACGAAACTCAGTTTGTAATGTGAATGTCTGCCGTCATAGAACGTGCCATCATTGAATTAAACATTTTTGTGAACAGTCTATAAGTGATGAAGAGAAACAGCACTCCCATTCACGCCGGTTGGAGGCCGGGGTGGACCGGATGTCCTCGTGGAGACAGGATTTTACCAAATAAATGAGTAAATTATGTGTAAAAAGTCTTGAAGTCTCCAAAAAATATTAGGTGTTTTTTATATAATAAAAAATTTAGATAAAAAAGGGGTGGCAGCATTGCTGCGAGCAAGACAGCTGCGCCCCCCCGACGAAGCTCCTATCAATTCTGATAGGAGGAGCACTAGTTATAATAGCGCCATCTGGAAGCTGGGACCAAAATTAAACAGAAGAAGAAGAGGTTGTTTTTTACTTTCAGGGTCAACGAGAATATAGTGTTCTCTCGCAGTTGAAGTCCGAGGATCCAGATGAATACAACATCGTCAAGGTGCTGGAATTTTTCAAACACGGGCCTCACACATGTATCGTCTTTGAAATGCTGGGTAAGAGTCTCTTGGAATTCCTGGAAAATGCTGGCTCTATGACATGCAAAGACATTAGGCCCATTCTGAAGCAGCTTCTGACAGCTTTGTTGAAACTTAAGGTGAGTCTCATTGATTCATAAAAAAAATTCAAAACAATACTGAGTGAGTTCAACTGATTGACGCAACATTCCAAACCACCATTTATGTTTTCTTGACATGTTTTCAGAAGAATCTCCGTTTTCCAACTGATTGATGTAACATTTTAAACCACCATTTTTGTTTTTTCTGACATGTTTTCGAAACAACTTTCCGGAAAAATATTATTTCTCAAGCTGGATTCATCATCTCAACTGATTGATGCAACATTTTGAAATACCATTTTTGTTTTTTCTGACTTATTTCCAGAACAATATTATTTCTTGAGCTAGATTCATCGTACCAATTCATTGACGCAACATTTCAAACCGCCGTTTTTGTTTTTTCTGGCCTTCTTTTGAAACGATATTATTTGTCAAACTGGAATCATCGTTTCAACTGATTGACGCAACATTTCAAACCACTGTCATCGTTGTTTCTTACTTTAGCATATCAACTAAACCATAAAACTAATTTACGAAACATTTTGAACCACCATTTTCATTTGATTCGACTTTTATTCGGAACAATATTATTTTTCAAAATGAATTCATCATCTCAACTGATTGACGCGATATTTCAAAATATCATTTTCGTTTTTTCTGACATTTCTCGAGAAGAGTATTATTTCTTAAGCTTGATTCATCGTACTAATTGATGTACGCAACATTTCATACCTCCATTATGGTTTTTTTGAACGATATTATTTTTCGATTTGAAATCTTTATTTCAACTGATTGACGCAACATATACATGACTATTGTCGTTGTTTCTTACTTTTTGTAAAAAGCCATATAAACTAAATCATAAAAATAATTGACGCATTATTTTGAACCATCGTTTTCATTTAATCTGACTTTTTCCAAACTGAATTCATCGTCTCAACTGATTGTCGCAATACTTTGAAACACCATTTTTGTTTTTTCCGACATTTTTCAAGAACAATATTATTTCTTGAGCTAGATTCACCGCACCACTCGATAGACGCAGCATTTCAGACCGTCGTTACTGTTTTTTCTGCTATTTCTTCAAACTATTTCATATTTTGAACTAAAAGTCACTTTCCAACTGTTTGACGCAACATTTCAAACCACTGTCATCGTTGTTTATTACTTTTTGTTGAAAAAAACTAATCCATAAAACTAATTGACGCAATATTTTGAACCGCTATTTTCATTCAGTCAATCATTTTTTCAATACAATATTATTTTTCAGACTGAATTCATCATTTCACCTGATTGACGCAACATTTTGACTCAACTCCCATTTTTGTTTTTCCTGACTTTTTTCCAGAATAATATTATTTCTCAAGCTGGATTCATTGTACCAGATCATTGACGCAGCATTTCAAACCGCTGTTTTTGTTGTTTCTAACCTTTTTTTCCAAAAGCTATTATTTTTCAAACTGGATTCATCGTCTCAACTGATTGACGCGATACCTTGAACCATAATTTTTTATTTTTCTGACTTCTTTTCAGAATAATATTATTTCTCAAGCTGGATTCATTATACCAATTGATTGACGCAACATTTTAAACCGCCGCTTTTGTTTTTTCTAACCTTCTATTCAAAGAATATTATTTTTCAATCTGAATTCATCGTCACAATTAATTGACGCAACGTTTCAAACCACCATTTTTGTTTTTCCTGACTTTCTTCCAGAACAATATTATTTTTCGAACTGAGTTCATCATCTCAATTGATTGATGGATATTCACTATCTTAATAATGAGTCAAAGTCAAAAAATAGCATGAAATGAATGGTCAGTTGAACAATTGAAATAGTATAAAAACAAAAAAGAAACACAAATATAAAAACAAAATTGAGTGTGTTATTATAAACGTTTGAAATGATTCTTGTATTTTTTGACAGAATAAAAGCAAAAACTCAAAAGATAATTTTTTATTATTTTTTTTTGAGTTTGGACATACATACTAAGAATTTTAAAGTTATCGAAAATATAGTTGTAGAGAGAGGTTGAAATCCAGAGTGTTTTTTTGTAATTTACTCAAAGGAGAACGATTTCTTTAAATTTTATTACAATGTCCGATATCATAGCCATGAAGATCTGATTGCTTAATTAATGATGTTGATTTTTTATGAATTTGTATGGGAACATTGCAGAAAAATGATGTGGTTAACGGTATCATTCCCAATTTAAAAACAGTGGTTGACAATGATTTCTATAACCAGAGTTAAATATTATTCTGAGAGCTGTCTTCATGCAATTAGGAACATAATAGTAATTAGTAATGAAAAATTGTAAAAATAATAATTTTGAAAAGAAACATTCAATTCCTAATATTTTTCCTTGTGAGGTCCAGGTATATGCAATTAGGCCGACTTTTTTTTCTTAAAAACTAAGCATGATACGAAAAAAATTCAAGAGACAAAAAAGTTGCATTTTTAATTGCTAAATTAAAAGAAATAATGAAAATTTCACAAAAGTCAGTGACGTACATTTTCAAGTCAAAAATATTCGTTCAAATCTTGCTCGAGACGCCACTGGACTTAAAAAATTGAATCACGTTCGGGCTAAATTAGCTCCTCAATGTTATAAATACCATTGCCAAATTACAACAAAATTAAATGAAGGATGTTTAAGATATTCACGAATAACTTTTTTTAATTTTTATCTTGAGAACGAAGGATTTGCGGACCCATGTTTAAATCAACATTTCGTCTTAAAATTACCTAAAAAATCGTCTGTTGAATTTATGGTACATACTTATTTAACACCCTGTATAATTGATGTTGAATATAGTTGAATTTGCTTCAAAAAATCATGAAATCGTTTCAGATTAAGTCATATCCTTGGGAATTATTTGAATCAATCAATACTTCAATCGCGCATATTATGTTATAGTCTATTTCAAAAGAGTGTAGAGTAATAAATCATGAAGTGTTATAAAATTTGCCTGAATTTCGTTGTCGTCCATGGGCGTAGGCAAATATTAGGATTATTAAACTTAATAATTAAAGTAAATTAAAAATTACAGACATAGATAATAATAAAAGGCCATTTTTGGGAAGTAATTTGGTCTAAAACTAAGTACCTACATGTATTTAGGTAAGTAAAATTTCTTAAAAAAAGATTAAGATTAATTTTAGTGGTTCTTGTAAACTTATTTAATATGCAATTTGGGTTCATATACTTGAGCATGATTTCTCAAAAAAGGGTTAACACTTAGTTCCGAGGTGCCATGTCATTATAATAATCCCTTTTTGACCCTGCCCACCAATCATGCAATACCTATTAAACCCAGGTAATTAAGAAAAAGGGTTTAAATATATTGTAATGGTGTCTTAAACA